CAATTAAATGTATTTCACTTAAGAGGGAGCAGGGAGGTTGGAGAATAGTAAAAAAATCACTAGCTGGTTTATCCTTGTCCCGTCCTGCCATACCTGTGTTGTAGCAGGGAACATTTGTGACATGCTAATACATTTTTGCAGTGTTTCGTAGTGAAACTCTCAGTATATAGAAGACTTAATGGAATAAGGGACACTAGAGCTGATGAGTAGAAATGATGAGTGAGAATTTTCTACGCATGGAGAAAGCCTGTGCGTGTGTGTCAAGGTAGGTAAGAACAAGATTAGAACAGGAAACACACAGTTTTCTGTTCTGTTTTGTTACAGACAGGCTGTAACCCTGGGGGCATGAAAGGCAGTAAAGGCCAGACTAAGAGATTATGTTTTATATATATTTATGTATCTATTGTCAGTAGGAAACCACTGATGGGTTTTGGGATGGGTACTAACTTATTAGTTAAAAAGATAATTTTATCAGCTATGTAAAAAATAAATCAGACCAGAGGTCTTTAACTTGGGGCCTATGAACTTGTTTTTCAAAAAATATATTTTGATAAGTTTATTTTAATATAATTGGTTTTTTTTTTGGTAAACTTATTCATTTTATTTAATGCCTTACAAACGTTCTTAGGAGTCCATATGTTTCATCAGACTGCCAAAGGGACCCATGACACAAAAAAAAAAGATGAAAAAATTCTGGATAAGAGACGGAAATGACTGGAAGCAAGGAAATCAGTTAGGGGGCTTTTAAAACGTCCAATTCAATTTCTTTCTTTTTTTTTTAATTTGACCAGTAAAAATCAATGTGAAAAAATGTTGCAATCCTAAACTGAGTTATTACCTTTGTGAATTGAGAGTAAGGGAGAGATTCAAGCAACATTGTACAAGTAGATTTGGAGTTACTTAGTAACTGTTTGGCATCGGTAAGGGGGAGAAAGAGAGGAAAGGGTCTGACTCTAATTTTCCAGGTTGGATGATTGAGATAAGTTGGCAGAGGGGCAGGTTAGGAGGGAAGGAAACAATGGGGAGAAATATTTTACTTTTCCCAATCTCACCATTCATTCTCTGCATTTGTTTTTTGCATGAGTCATCCTCCATGTGTGACTTGTCCTTCCTTCCAACTCCCCATGTTGATTACTGGCATTATTTTCTCATTCACCTAGTAATAGAGACTGGAAATCTGAGAATTATTTTTTCACTCATCCCTTTCCCTGCCCCCCATTCATATCTAATCAGTGTCCAAATACTTTCAGAATTACTTCTAAAATATCACTTGAATTTATTTCCAAGCATAGTTCACATACTTTCTAAAGTGATCTTCCTATATCTCTCATCAAACCTAATTATTCACTTATCTTATATACTTTATCCGTTTCCTGTCACATCTAGGGTAAATTATAAAATCATTTGTTTAGCATTTAAAGCTCTTCATAACAATAATACCTAACTTTTATAATATGCTTTAAGGCTTGCAAAGCACCATACATATGTTGTCTTATTTGATCCTCACAACAATCCTATGAGATATGTTATTATCCTCATTTTACAGATGAGTCAACTGAGGCTGAGAGAAATTAAGTGACTTGCCCAGGTTAACATAGCTAGCATCTGAGAAAGCATTTGAACTCAGGACTTTTTGATTCTATGTCAAGACTTCATTTATTCATTTATCTATCTATCTATCTATCTATCTATCTATCTATCTATCTATCTATCTATCATCTATCTATCTATCTATCTATCTATCTATTTATCTATCATCTATCTATCATTTTACAGGTAAGGGCATCCCATTCACATTCAGAGTTATGATTATAACTATGTTTTTCCCTTAATAATATCCTTTTATAAATTTTCCTTTTCTTTTGTCCCCACTCCTATCCCTTTCCTTCTTCAAAAAGAAAAAAAAGTGTTAGAGAAAGAAAGAAAAAGGAAAGGGTCAGCATTAGTAATTTTAAATGGAAGTGGTCTGATCATCTCCTTAGCCTGTTCCCTTCATCTAGTATACATTTAGATCAATGGCTCTTATCTCTTTGCTTTTCATTTCCCGTTTATGATCTGTTCTCTATAGCTGAAGTTTTTTTTTTTTCTTGACTGTTCTCTCCTCAGCTTTACTCTCCCTCTTATGTCTCACTCTACTCTCTTTCCTCTTTCTTTTCCCCTCTTTTTTCTTTGTTTAACTTCACGTATTTATGTACCAAATTACAAGTGTGTCTGTGACTGTGGTGTGTGTGTGTGTGTGTTAGAGAGAGAGAGAGAGAGAGAGAGAGAGGAGAGAGAGAGAGAGAGAGAGAGAGAGACACACACACACACACAGAGTTAGAGTTCAATCTTCCTTTGGCTGATTCAGATAAAAGTGAGATTCCAGAGATGTCCCTCTCCCACAACCTTTACCTCTATGTTAGCATACTCTTCTTCTACCCACTTTAATTTTGAAAAATACTTAAGTTCCTCTTCTTTCTACTTTTCCCTTGTGTATTCTTCCCCCCGCCTCCTTTTTCTTCTTTCAAAACCAACAAAACATAAAACAATCAGTTGTGTTTGTCTTTCTTCACTCCCTCATTGAAAATTTAAGACAGCAGCATTCTATAGGGACCTTTGGCTCTTCTCCTGTATTAAATCATAAGCAATTGGTCATGATTCACACCTTTAAATTTTCTCAATATATCATGCTGTACAGGTTACACAGCTGACTCTAGAAATAGGAAAACTTGGCTCCAGACCTGCTTTGGATGTGTTTGAACTGTGTGACTCTGTCCAAATTGCAACGTTTAAATTGTCCAGGTACTTCCGTAATGCTATACATTTCAAAGAGGATGCTGGTTTGCATTGGTAGAGGAATTTGGTCACCAAGAGCTAATAAAAGCACAAGTCTAGGAGGAAAGTATCTATATCTACACTTATATCTATAATTATCTATCTATTTATGTATGTATGTCTATTTTTATTATATGTCTCTTTATAGCTGTCATTTCTATCCTTATCTCTAACTATGTAACTATTATCTCTCTCTACCTCTGTCTCTGTCATCTCTATTAAAGGTCTATTTTTCCCTTGTAGGATTATGCTATTTTGCAGGATGTTATCCTTGTGCAGAAAACTTTTTTGTTTGCTTTTTGGCATATCTTATTCCGGTACTTATTTTCCTTTACCATAATTATTGCATAATTTAATATAATCTTAACTGTGGTTCCTTGGTATTTGACTTCTTTTTTTTCCTTCTAGATTCTGTCTATATAACATCTTTTTGTATTTTCAATTTACATTGCTTTTGATAATTGACTGATAGATTCTTCCTATTTTCATTTTTCCTCTGGTACTAATAATTCTGGGATAGTTTTATTATTTCTTGAACTATTGTGACCAGGTACATTGTTTGTTCATTGTTTTTTTTCAAGGAATCTGATGATTCCTAAATGACTTCTTGTCCTTTTCTCCATGTCTAGCATTTTTGTAGTACATCCATTATTATTCCATGTTTTGACTTTGTCCTAATATTTCTTTTTTTTTTCCCATTGAATTATTGATTTGTTGGCTTCATTCTATTTTTCAGGGTATTTATTACTTGGGTACTATTTTTGATCTTCTGTTCCAAGCTATGTATTTTTCTTATGATGTTTTCCTCAATCATTCTGATTTAATTTTATCTTTTGATTAATTTCTTCTATGTACTCTTAGAGTCATTATGGAAAAATATTTTTTTCTTGGTTCCTAATGTACTTACTTCTGAATTATTCTTTCATTCTGTATTTACTTATTGAACTTCTAACTCACAATATTTTTTTTATTGTTTTAGGAGCTTTTTTCTGTTTGCTCATGTCTCCTGTCTCAGACCCTGGACTGAAATTTTTTATGCCAGGTTCTACCCTCTCCTAATGCTTCCAAGAGAAAGGGACGTCTAAACCCTGGTACTAACATACATAATAACTTACAAAACTGATCTCATTACATTCAATATCTCCCATTGCTAAACTACTCTATATACAACAGCAAAATACTCAACCTAACAAATAGGATTTACCAAGTCATTACCCAGAGGAAGGACAAACATTTATAGTATACTTTGTGCCAGCAATCTTGCTAGGTGCTGTGAATATAAGGCAAAAGTCAACAGTATTGATGATAAATATGTATAAAAGTGTAAAGAGTAAATACAAAATAACAAATATTGTTGGTTATCTAATTCTATATAATTTGGTTAACTAATTCTATATAATGATTAAATTAATAATAATAAGGATACATGGTAGTTAAAGGTTTGTGCCTTCAATACTGAGTTATAGAAAAGTGATTCCTGGACTTTTAAAAACATGAGGACCTTTACTTGATATACAACAATTATTCAAAATCCACTTATTGGAGCTAAAGAGCAATTTGAAGATTTTTGATGTCCAAATTCATTTGAAAATAACTCCAAGAGACCAAAGGGTCTGTGGCCCACACATAGGAGTGATTGGTCAAGAAGTCTGTCTATCTAGGTGGACTAATTTGGACATCTTCACAGAAAACTGTTCTGTTCTACACCTTTAGCTGAAAAAGCAATTAATAGCTTATAGGTAATCACTAGGAAGAGGGGATTATAATCTATAAATGGGAGCAAGCTTAAAAGTCATCTGGTGCTACCTCCTCTTGTCTAATGGCAAGAAAACTGAGTGAGGTTTGGTTAGTAAATTACTAGTGATTTTTTTCATTCTACCAAAATGGTCAAGGCTGTAGGGACATAGTCTGTCCTTTCTCCAAAGTATAATTTACTCTGTCTCTTGATTTTTTATTTTGCTTAACTTTTTTTTTTTTAACAATACACCATCTTAAATATTTCTGGGATTAAAGCCTTGAGATATATTTGAAAAAATTTTTGATATTCAATATTTTCTGTGTTAAAACAAAATCTGCTTTCCATAGTTTTCAATAATATTCAATGATACTCACCTAGAACTGTTTCTTTTTCAGATTCTTCCCTTCAGAGAACTTCTGGATGCTTGAAATATATCAAGTAGGTGAAGATGAAGAATAACTCTATGCTGAATGAGTTTATTTTGTTAGGACTCACCAATTCTTGGGAGCCTGAGATTTTCTTTTTTGTGATCTTCTTCCTGGCCTATGCATTAATCATGGCTGGAAACAGTCCCATTATACTGATGGTGACCTTTGTCTCCCACTTGCACTCCACTCCCATGTACTTCCTCCTGGCCAACCTCTCCTTTCTTGACATGACCCTTTCCACTGTTACTGTCCCTAAGATGATCACAGACTTTGTTAAGGAGAGAAAAACCATCTCCTTATGGGGCTGCATGGCCCAGATGTTTTTTCTCCATTTCTTAGGGGGTAGTGAAACGACTCTCCTTATATTCATGGCAGTTGATCGGTATGTTTCAATATGTAAACCCCTCCACTACACAACCATCATGAACCAGCAAACACTGATAAGCTTTGTGTTGCTTTCCTGGGCTGTGAGTTTTGTGCCCACCATGAGCCAGATGGTCTTTACTGTGAACTTGCCCTTCTGTGGCCCCAGTGTGGTTGACAATAATTTGTTTCATCCTCTTGTGTATCTCCTATACTGTCATCTTGGTCACAGTCCACCATCGCTCTTCTGGTGGGCTCTCCAAGGCCCTGTCTACATTGTCTGCTCACATCACAGTGGTAACTCCATTCTTTGGGCCATGCATTTTCATCTATGCCTCACCATTTAGCAGCTTTTCAGTGGACAAATTTCTCTCAGTGTTTTACTCAGTTATCACTTCTCTCCTGAATCCAATCATCTACACCTTGAGAAATCAGGAGATAAAGGCAGCTATGATCAGACTGAGGAGCAGACATATCACCTCCAGGCAGGCTTTGTAGAAGAAGTTTATGATAATAACAATGATTAAAGCACTACCAAGATAAATCTCATCTCAGAATGGCCTATTGCTTTTTACATTCATCTACAGATATTTTAACTCTTACTAAAAAAGATAATATGCTCCATCACTGATATCTTAGGGATATGTTTTGGGAGTATGTATGTCTTTGTGTTTCTTTAAGGAAAAGGACCTAATTACTGTGCATTAATTTAATTTTTCAATGACAAAATATGCTGAGACTCAAGAAATATTTAGACAAAAAAATTACATGTGGACTTGACGGTCCCTAAAGTTTCTTCCTTCACTAAATCCTTTGATCCCATGATTTTTTTGTGATATCATGAAATACTGATGGATTATAGTCAGATTGATCCTCCCTTAGTGACTATGTGATTCTGAGTAAGCATCTCCACCTCTGTGTAAAATGGGGATAATAATAGCTAATAATAGCTTTTTCCTCACAGTATTGTTGTGAGGATCAAATGAAATAAATATATAAAGTTACTTGAAAACCTCAGAGGAGCACCATATAAACATTTCTTTTCATCATCAAGAATGGAATTATAAAGCCCTTTAGAGAATTTGAGTCCAGGTTTAGAATCATTCCACCAAATACTACAAGTATATAAAGGGGAAAGTGGGAAGGTGCAAAGGGTGCCAGCTCCCTCAATAGAGAGTAAAGGTTCTAAAACTCTGTATATTGCATGGAATAATCATACCTAGCTTTGATAGAGTTCTTTAGAGTTTGAAAAGTGTTTTTACAAATATCATCTCACTTGATCTTCACAACAATCCTGACAGGTTGGTACTATCATTATCTCCATTTTCTTGATGAGGAAATTGATGTAGATAAAGTACTTGTCCTGGTCACACAGCTAGTTAGTGTCTGAATCTGGAGCTGAACTCAGGTCTTCCTTTCTCCAGGTTCAGTACACTATCTACTGCACCACCTAGCTGTACATGAGAGAGAAGCTCTGTTAGTAGTGAAATTGATCTCAGACAAAAGATGTGGCCAGAACTCAAAATGGTCGGTGCTATGATGCAGCCTTAAACTTCATATTTCAAAGCATACTATGTCATCAAACACACACACACACACACACACACACACACACACACACACATCTCGACTCTTCTGAATGAAACAGAAATCCCTAAAATAATCATTGGCCCATACTCAAGTCAGAGGGGAGCTATATTTTGTCATAGCAATAATGAAGAAGAAACTTTACCCCATCTGTTTACTTAACTTACATAGACCCTAAAGGAAACTAAAGTTAAGGTCATAAATAGTGCTCTTTTATATCAGACTAATGGTGTATTGCTAATGCTTATAAGGAACATTTTATGTCAGGACAAAGCTGCTTTCCATGATGTGAAATTTAAAGCCTGGGAATATGCCCAGGTCACAAGAATTATCCTTTGTAAGTCACAATAGATCTGTCATCCCTTGATTGTCACAGATAATTGTTAAGGGATTGATGTTATGCAGATGCCCATAGAGGAGTGAATGTGGTTGTGGGGACCTATATTCTCATTATTATATAGGCATTGACACTTTCCAAGGCTGTTGAGGTAGTTGTATGGTTGGTCTAAGTTGGTTTCCAATGGCTTACTTCCTCAGGTTAAGTCTTCCTCTCTACAGGAGGCCTTTCCCAACCCCCTTTAAGGCTAGAGTCTTCTCTCAGAGATTATCTCTTATTTATCCTGAATGTAGTTTACTTGTATGTAGTGAATAGCAAGTTGTTTCCCCAATTGGACTATGAACTCTATGAGAGAAGAGACTGGTTTTTTTTTTCTTTCATTGTATCTCCTGTGCTTAGCACAGTGCCTGGCTCATAACTTACACTTAATAAATATTTTTTAACATGACTTTACTAGTAAAATAATTCATGAAGTCTGAAAGTTTAAGACAAATACCTATACTACATAGGAGATAGTAAAATCCTGGTACTTGTTCTGGTGCAATATAGTACAGACTCACCTTAAATAAATGGCCTCTAGAGTTTGAGCAAATTCTCAAGTTCCTCTGAATCTTTCGTATTTATCATTTCATATAATACAATCATATTCCATTTTATTTATATGTCAAACTTTGTTCAATCATTCCCCAGTTGAAGGACATCCACATTGTGTCTAGTTCTTTACAGCAAAAAATGTGGTTATACATATGGGTCCTTTCCCTATGTCTTTGACCTTTTTTAGGTATAAGCTGGTAATTGAATTGCAGGGTCAGAGAGCACATATGTTTTAATGACATTTAATGGTTTTCTAAACCTAAAGGTTTAGAAAGGTTTTCCAGAATGGAAAACAATTTGACAAATTGACAATACTACCAATGGAGGATTAATGTACTTGTCCTCCCAGAATTCCTCCAAAAATTTCCGTTTTCAAGTTTCATGGGTTTTGCCAGTTTTCCAGTCTATCGTTCCAAGCTGATTATAAATTACCCCCACTCAAGCACTTATATGCTTCAGCCAAAATGACCTCTCTGGCTTTTCACCCCATAACATCTCCTTTCCCACTTTTGCGCCTTTGTGCTTGGGTTCCTGGAATACCCGCTCTCCCTTCATCATTATGCATTGATTTTGTATATATCTTCTATGTATTTATCTATGAACATAGGCTATACTCTTGTTAGAAAGTAAACTCCTTGAGGGCAAGGATTTCCTCACATTTGCATTTTTGTCCCAAATACATAGGAACTCATATAGCATTAAAATGCCCCTAATATAGTATACATTTAATGTGTATGTTTTGACTGAATGATGAAGTAGAGGAGTTTCTGCATGTTGAAAGCCCTGAATCAAGAAGGTGTCAGAGTTAAGGAATGGAACAGGCACTTATTAATGCCCTACTATGTGCCAGGTACTGTGCTAAGCATGTTACAAATATTGTCTCATGTGTTTCTCACAACCATTATGAGAGGTAGGTGCTAATACCCCCATTTTACAACTTGGGAACCTGTGGTTAGGTGACTTGCTCAGGGTCCCATAGCTAGTAAGTCTTCAAAATCATATCTGGACTCAAGTCTTCCTGACTCCAGCCCTTGAAGTTTATCCACTGCATCACCTAACCGCCTCATCTTACTGAGGTATAACAGCAGAAAATAGAGCCATAACGTGGAGGAGCAAAGGCAGAACTTGTGTTTCAACACTCTTGTGACTTATGTGGTCTGCATAAATTTGTGGCAGGAAGTAGTTGACTCTTTCTCTAGAGTGCTTGACCCTTTTACACATTGTAAGTCTGGAACATTGGAGAGGCCAGTCAATAGGCAAGCATTTAAGTTGTCTACTAAGTAATAGGTGGGCTATTTAGTTCTTTGATGATCCCCAGTTCTTTCCTCTTTTTGATTTTCCTGCCCGGAGTGGAACTTAAAGACTGCAGGACCATCTGAGTCTAAGGGAGAGAAGAAACTACTTAAAGATTTGACTTCATGAGTCTCTTTTCTATTTTCTCTCAGGTTAAATACAAACTTTCCTATATGTAGGTAGGTGGTACAGCAAAGAGAGTATTAGATCTAGAGTCTAGAAACCCTGAGCTGAAATATGACTTTGAAAATTTAATAGACATGTGAATCTTATCAATTCTTTAACCACTTAACATAGCTTCAGTTTCCCTTCTGTTACATAGGAATAATAGCACTTTTCTCACAGGATTGCTGTAAAGATCAAACGTGATATTTGTAAAACACTTTGCAAATGTTAAAGCACTATATAAAGTATAGCTATTATTATGCCTATTATTAAATATTATGTCATTCTGAGTGCTTTCATGGGAGTGGAGTATATTTTTTTCCTTTTGTGCAGAGACCCAGAAATGAGCCAACTTCTGATATGTTAGGGGAAATTCAGAGAAAAGCAAAACCAAGAAGATTCTGATTTTCCTAAAGGAATTCTTGGGGAGGGGGATTTAGGCCGAAGACAGATTTTATATAAGAAATCTCCCACATTGGCCCCTACCTATTTAAACTCTGATTTTTGTTTCTTGGTATGAGTTATAGGAAGATTGCTTTGATGGCAGTGTGGAGGATGGATTGGACAGGGAAGAGCCTTGAGAGAAGCAGACAAATTAGGAGGCTACTGGAATAGTCTGGTTGATAAGGGCATGAACTAGGGTCATAGCAGTATTAACAGCAAGGAAGAAATGGAGGCAGCTGTTATAAAAATAGAATGATCTTGGTGGTGAGAGAGGCTGTAATCAAAGATAACATCAGTATTTGGATCTTGGGTGACTGGGATGACGGTGATTATACCAATTAAATTACAGACATTTTAAAGAATTCAGTGGGAGGTCCCTATGCCTACATAACAAAGCTTCCATTTTAATCTCTTTCTATAAACATTCCCTTTTGTCCTTGAATGTGTTACACAGATGAACCTTTGTGGAGTAATTCAGACAGAGAATGTGCCTATCCCTTTGGTGAAATTTGCATCCACTTTAATGACCAGACAACAAATCTTTCCTTGAAGCCTAGGGAAAACCAACACGGTTCTCTAATAATTCCCATGCCAATTTGCTCTTTAGTCTTCTATGCTCCTTATTATCTCAAAGTGTTTCTAATTTTTTTCCTTGCCTTCTTGGGAGTTCATATATATCTGTCTTCTTGGAGGTCCAGGAAACCCATCATCTTCATTGTTTCTGTCTCATTGAAGAGCTTATTCTTTGATGTCTTCATTTAGGAATGGTAGGTTGAAAGGCCAGTGCTCTATTATACAGGAATTTTTGCATTAAAGCCATGTTTAACAGACAAATTTCTATATAGATTTGGTAAGTGAATAGTAAAGATGGACTTTTGCCAATGAAGGATAATGATCTTGCAATCATCCTCAAATAGTATCTGGAAAACTATTTCTAGGTTCTATAGAATTAGGAGATCCAAAATTTTGTCATTGCACTTAAATTCAATTCTATAAACGCTTATTAACTGCTTACCAGTTTTTTTCAATATCTTAGTTATTGGTGATACTTAGATGAAAAATGATATAGTCTCTGCCT